GATCTAACATTCACGCAACAGGATCATTGGTAGGAAAGGATTGAGAAAGGATTGTGGAGATGATCATCTTAATGTGAGTTTATAGAATATGCGAGAAAAAATTATTAGATAGCTCGGACTGGGATTCGAACCCAGAACCTTCCGAAGACATGTCGGCTACTCTACCATTTGAGCTATTCCTTTCGAAATATATACACGAAATATCCTCGGAATACAAAAACAATGAAATAGCTACATTGCGTATGTAACTTCGTCAATAATTAAAAATACCTCCTTAACTTCTCATATTTCTATTTCTTTAAGTTTCTGATAAATATTAATTAAAAATTATCATAAAATCAATTAATAAACAATTTCAATATTAGCTTTTACATAATTTTATTTTATAAATATTTTATTCAATTTTCGAATTAAAAAAATATCCGTCAAGGGATTGACTCAGAAAATCATAGTCACAAAAACTTAATGCGGTTTTTCATATATCGACGGTCTAATTAGCAATTGGTCTAACTCCTTATTCTTCAGAGGGTGATTTTTTAAAATTTTGATACAGCAATAGTCCAATTATAAATTATTTGAATGATCCAAATCAAAATATTATACCTTTATTAGATATTAATGCTATTAAATTTTTTTAAAGTGATATTAAATTTTGAATTACTTGTTTTTTCATACAAATGGAAGATTCTCTAAAATGGAATTAGACAATTTGCTAATTAGAACGTCGATATGATACTAGTATTTAAAAATTATGATGAAAAATTTGTTCAGCGAAATACTAGAATAATTAAATATCTCTTAAATTTTTATTTTTGAAGTAGATCTTGGAATTTCGGTTAGAGTCACCGTAACGCCAGGAAATTTAAAAGTATTAGGCTTTTAATCGCCTCTCTCTTATTGAAAAACTTTTGTTCATATTTGAAAATTTTCTACCACGACATTTGACCATTCTTCTGAAGGACTATTAATTATTATTAAAATTGCATTACTAAATGTAAATAGTGTATAATTAGTAAAATATTTTTAGATTCAACTACCTATATATTGTCTTAGTAAAAAGTAAAAGTCAAAAAATACATATTCGGAGTACTCATTATCATTAACTTATTATCATTTAACACTCTGTTTATTCAAAAATTCCAGTCTCATCACAGAAAAAAAAGGATACTAGTGTTTTAACAACACTTGTAAAATTTTCCAAGTTCATACGATAAAATTTTCCTGCCGTTAAATGGAATTCTTGACTAGTTCTTAGCATAATATATTTTATATCCTTACAATTCTTCATTGGAAAGTTATACCAATAACAGCTATACACTGAAAAACATGACTCTTGCATAGCCGAATTCAATTTTTCCCCAGCATAGCAGTATATGAATATTTGAGAAAAAAAATACAAAATTGTCCCAGCAGCATCTCGGATTACCGAACTAATATCGTGATTTTTTAGTGCTATAAATATCATGATGACTGTAACAAACATTGTTATTATTATACAGCAGTACTGCATATAATTTAATAATCATATACAAATTGTGAAAATATTTAATAATGCATTGTATACTTCTTTTTGACTTAAAAATTTTTCAATTTTTAGATCAATAATCCAGTTTAATAATAAAGGATGAGAGAGATTTTAGAAAAAACATTTACACAGATTTAAATTAATTACACTGAGAAAATAAAATACCTCGATAAAAAAATTGTTCTTGATACAAAAACATAAATTTTTGATAATTATCGAGAACATAATTTCTTATCTGAAGAATTGATCTAATTGATATTATTTTGTTAAAAAATTATTAATTTTAATTGGTACATTTAAAAAAATTGTTGAGCCAAGAAATTTTTGTCTGGACAATAATTTTTCTTTTTCTCAGTGTAGTCCCAATTTGTATATGATAAAAAATATAATTATAAAAATATATTGAATCATACTTATAATATTTAAATGTATTCCACTTATCAACAGTACTGTAAGCATTATATAGGTGAATGATTTATGAAACATGAGCATCAAATCAACTAAATGTTTTTGTCGTATTACAATTTTGTAAAATTTTGTTTTTTCGAATTTACTGTTACTGTCATGACATTTTGAAATATTGTATATTATATATATAATATTATATAAAAATTTTGAAAAATTAATAAATTATAATATAATTAAATTAACACAAAATATTATTTAAGTCGAAATTAAATTAATAGCTAAAATTAATCTCAAAACTTAAAATAATTCCAAAGGTTATAATGTAAATTGATAATTGTTGAAAATAGCAACGATACTGTAGATACAGTGATGTCAGGACATATTATATTTTGGATGCAAGGAAGGGTCAATTTTATGACCTGAGGTACTGACGGTACTTTTGGGTTGCCAGCGATCATAGTTAGTGTTAACTGAACTCTCGTGACGAACGGTCCACCTTTGTGTTATAATATTATCGAGTACCTACACTGCTTAAATCTCTAATGTATTCGTTTGTGTATTCTTGAGTAGTTTGTTATTAATAAAGACAATAAATTGCAATAATATTTTTTCTTCATAAATCATATATATTATATTATCTCAATCTTCAAGCCTTAAATTCCAATAGGTTATGGGCCCAGATAATGAGAAAAATATAAAATATTGAGATTAAAGTTTTTTTTCTAAGGAAGACAATATTTTGTGTAAAGAGACTTTAGTGATAAACTTTAAAGTGTTGTTTCTAGTTCTGGGGGTATTTTTTTAGTAGATTTTATAAAAATCTAACTATTGTAACTATATATATATATACGATATGCCTGCTTGTCACGACGATAGCGTCAACAATTCTTAAGGGATCTTAATGAAACTCAACATACTTATTCTATCGACTATTAGGAAGGTCAAGTTCAAATATGAGCTTAATCGGTCATATAGTTTAGAAATTACACCAGTTCAAAATTTTGAAATTTTAAAAATTTGATACTTTCACTACTTTTCCTTCAAATAACTTTTGAACGCGTCGAGTTATTCAATTTCTGTAAAATGCATTTGAAAGCTGAGAATTTAAGCTTCAATTTATATGCTCAAATTTTTTTCTGAAGCAAAAAAAAAAATTCATCTTATGATCATTTTTAAGAAATTTTACTCTTGCAGTCATTTTGTCTATACAAAACTGACTGAAAAGTACTGAAGTACAATAATTCTTCTCTTTCTTCATTAAACGTTATTTATTTTTGTTTTTAATCCTAGTAGTTTTTAATTTTATTCATCATGAAATCTACTTCCATTTCGGCTGCCGAATGGCCTTTTTTATTTTTATTAAAACTATGAATACATTGAAGTGTGAAGATGCCTGACTTGTGGGGAATTAAGAAATTGAACGATAATAATTATGAGGTGTGGAGGAGTGAAATGGAATTACTTCTTACTAAAGACAAAGTGTAGTATGTCATCAAGGAAACACAGCAGCACCAGTAACTCAAAAGTGGATAGAGGACGATAGCGAAGCTCGGACAACCATTGGGCTTTTACTTGAAGATGAACAAATGGAACATTTCAATGGCTGTAAGTCTGCTAAGGAAGCGTGGGAAGCGCTCGAAAAACATCATCGTAAGTCAACAGTATTAGCTACAAATATTTTGTATAAGAAATTATTCCGTACACGTATAATCGTGTTTAATGGATTTTTTTCTCAAATGTATAACTGTAATTTTCCCGACTTTTTAGGTTTTTTACAAAGTACATAAAAACATACTCAATCTGAATCCAAAAAATTTTTTTATCTCGATAATTTTGTTGTTTCATGATTTATTGCAATTTTTTTGGGTTTTTTGCTATTTTTTTAAATTTTGACAGCTCAACGGGCTAATTAACGTTCAGACTTAGATTCAGTGAATTGTAATACATAAAAATTATACTTGAGTTGGGTCCACAAAATTTTATTCATCGTTGTGACTCCAGTTTTTCGCAATTTTTCGCCTTTTTTGGGGTTTTTTGGATTTTACTCAAAATTTTGACGGTGTACGGGCAAAACTTACTTCAGATTCAGATTCTGAGCGTTAAAATACATAAAGGTAGGTCCGGTCAAAAGTACTGACAACTTTTTTTTTGTGTGCTGGTGTTATCAATAAACTGGCTAGTTAAAATAGCCAATAATTAAAGCGAATAAGAGATAACTCGTGTAAGAAAGGCAGCACTGGCGAGTGAAAAGGAAAGAAATAGCAGAAACTACACTGAGAAAAAAAAATGTTTTTATTAAGAAAATTTTCTTGATACAAGAATTTATGTTCTTGAAAATTTTCAAGAATATATATTCTTAGCTCAAGAAATTGTTAAATTGATTGAAATAATTTTTACTTAATTTAAATAAAGCTATTCTTTTGTTTATCTAACTTCTAATGTGGCGTACATTAATAGAAAATCATCGTGGGCTGGTATCCCGTAATTTTCATCATCAGTACCGCAATCGGATTTAATAGATGGTTTTACAATTTTCTCTTTCTGTTCTTTATCGCCGCGACAGCATTGATAAAGAATAAGCTTAGGCTTTCCAGCCAATGTCGGATATTCATCGCTCGTGAATGCCCTCCACAATTCTGCTGACGGGTACGCCTGATCTCTAGCGTGAACTGTATTTAAACCCCCGTGGCTCATCACTGCGATGAACAAAGCGTCATTCTGTGAATGGTCTCTAATAGCCACTGAAATTATAATTATTGAATAAATTAATATAGGGCAGAGAAGGGGGGGGGAACAAAACGGGGTACTTGAGGAAATCTTTTTTGCGGGCAAAATGGGTTACCCCCTGAAAAAGTAAAAAAAAAAATCATTATCCGAAAATAAAATATCGTTAAAAAAATAACACTTGCTTATTGATAAGTATACGAAAGAACCCAGACAAATGAAGAAATCACCCAAAAAAGAAACATTGTTGTTGAAGCAATATACTCTTACCAAAAATTGAGGTAGCAAAAAAAATTTTTAAACTTTGTAGTAATTTTTGATGGGTTTCGCTCGAGTAAAAATAATATCAAGACAAAAAAAAAAAAAGAGTTTCTTTGAGAAGATTATTTTGAGAATTTTTTTTGAAAATAGTATATTACACATCTAGAGAAGTAAAGTAAGAAATGTCTCAGATCACATTATCCAAAAGATTCTTTCATTATTATTAATGATCGTTTTGAACTATTAGTGAACTAATATATTTTACAAAATTTTGAAGTAATGTTGAAAGAAACTTTTTACTATTCAAATTAAATATCTTACAAACGCACCAAATGATTTTGATGAAATTGGCGGCCTCTTACGCAGTCTTCTGAGCATTGATACTCCAATTATGGCATTAAAAATGATCCGAGGAGAAATTTCGAAGTTATTTAAAAAAACACTCTTTTGGAATAGTTAGTTTACGATTTCTCTTCAACACATCACTCGATATTGATGCGGTTTGCAGCCTATCGAATGACGCCAATGTCGTTCAAATCACTGGAGCCGTTTAAAAGTTATGAGAGGTTTACACTCACACACACATACCAACAGACATCCTCATAGGAATATTAAGAACTACTTCCTAGACCTTAAAACACAGTAAAAAATATTGTGTTAAATACATTCTACACAAAATTAGTGTTAAAATTCAATACACTTTGTGTTATTTTAACACAAAGTGTATTGAATTTTGACACTAATTTTGTATTGACCATATTTAACACAGAAATTGTGTTGATTTTACACAACATTTTTTACTGTGAATGTGAAGATCAGATTAGAACTTGATTTTCGAAAACTGGCATGGAACCAATGACTTCCCATTTTTTTTAAATCATTTATTTGTACAGCGAGAACTTAATAATTCAGAAAAAGAAATCTTAGATGTGAAAAAAATTCATTATGATGCACAATGACCACAAAAATTACTGTGAAAAACATTAAAAAAAATTTTTTTTTTTTATTTAAGGAAGTTCGAGCGTAACTAATGAGTCAAAATAATGTTAAAATTTTTTTTTAATTTTAGTCTTCCCAATATTCGTCAAAATTCTTTATTTTAATTTTAAATAATTTAATAATTGATGATTTTTACTTATTTAATAGAGTAAAGTAATAAAATGACTTTCGTATTTATTACATGCCGGAATAAATAAAAAGATTTGGCAATAGCGCGTTTGATTACACCCATTACAGAGACGTGGATGAGTGTGTGAGTTAAACATTTCTCTCTCTGAAACTATATATTTCTATCCTTTTCTCTTTTCTCAGCTGTTGACGCGATGTTGTCAAATCTTTATTCGAATAAATAGCTGACGATAAATATAAAATTTAACTTTAAATATTTCAAAAATTATATCGGTAATGTATTATTATTAAATTGTTTTTATAGTTTGCAATAATCCAAGTTTCATGTGTATAATTTTTTATCCGTTAAAGTTAGGAAGCTAATATTGAAATAAATGAGTTAAATTTTTTGGCCTATTTTCGGTCGAAGACTAGTGTTTTTTTAATTTAAG